CGAAGATATTTGAAAATATAGAAAAGCAGGGACGAGCACAACTAGGCGCCTGCCAAATCATAGATAAAAGATAATTATTTTTTGAAAAAAACGCCGTTACAAAACTCATCATTTTGGTGTCTTGTAGCCTGTAGCCTAGAATTTTTCACGGTTCCTTTTTACATTAAAACGTTTTATACGGTTTTGTAGAGAACTGAATGAAGAATCTTTGCGTGACAAGAGGTAAATCTGTGCGACGAAAACTGACGGAGATATTGGTAAAATACTGAGAGGCTCATTATTCCTGGGACACCCGATACATTCGACTAAAATGTAGTTTTCAAAGTTAAAGATAACTTTAAATCGAACTCTGATTAACGCATAAAGATATTATCAGCGTGTCTCAAAATAGTCATAAAATGAATATGTAAAATATTGACCAATGTTTGACTTGGTTGCATATTCTTTTAAAACAAACGGTGAANGTAAAAAAGAAAAAACGATAGAACCTGGCTGCTTGTGGACCCTTTAGCGCCGGCCCCAACGGGCGATAAGCCTATGGGAGATATTATTATTATTATTATTATATTGCGCAGCACTTAACAATAGTACAATTTTTCTTTTGTTAGCATATCCTTTAGTAAAATGTGCATAACCAACGCTCGACTATTGGACCAACATACAGTCATTCTCGTATATAATGTACCGCTTTATTTGAAAAAATAATGTAAGTTATTGCATTTAAAAGCGTTTTAATCATATATACCGTAATTCAAAATGTAAGAAAAATTAAAAGGAATTTCGAAGCCCAGTAAAAAAAGTAGATCAATCTTTTGAACAAAAAAATGAATAAAATCGCACATGTAAGATAAAACATAGAAGACTAAAAACAAGTTACCCTATTATATTTTTTTGAACAATGTTTCGTAAATGTGGCTGATTTAAACATAGATTTATTATGAAATCGATTATTTTGACAAATTTCTCTTTTCCTCATGAAAAAACAAGCCAAAACTGATAAAGATGCAACGATAATACATATATTTATATAAAAGACAAAAATATTTAATGTTTCTTTTTTTTTTCTTAAAATATATTCAAACTTTGTTTTTATCCTTCAAATAATCAAAAAATACAAGACAGTATTATCTTAAGCAAATTTTGGAACACCAGCAAATACTGATCTGAATTCACGTTTGCCAAATTTTGGAATGCCATGAAATAGACTCGACATAAGACGTTTAGGTTTCAGTCCGCCATTGAGAACATTTTGTTGATCTTTATTCAGACATGTACCATAACGTATACATAATATGTTAACATACGAATCTTGGTCATTCTTCTCGTTTACCAATGTTTTGACAACATCTTGTGAGTTCGAGTCACTTAATGGTAATATGTCCTTTTTGCTTTGATCAATACATGGAAGAGTGAATGAACAACAATATAGATTGAAAAGTAATACAAGTATAAAAATCGAATAAAAATGATCCATGATAAATTTTTAGAGAGAAGATCTTCGCTTACGAATATGTTAGTCTTTTTCTATGTGTTCGAGCTTTACCAACAATCGAAAAGCATATATAATTCTCTCTGAGGATTCTTTTTTGCTTTGCATCTTTCTCTCTTGTTTTTCTTTCTGTGCATGTTGCTTTCTTTTTTCATGAAATCATAATCTAATTAGCTCGATAAAAGTCTTCGATAGATGCAACTGAATTTTCTATCGGAGAGTTTGTAAATTATAAGCAAGAATATTTCCAATGGATAATAAATAGGGGGTCGTCCTACTATTTTTATATGAAAATGATTGAATTAAAACAAGAAAAGCGAGTTGCCAACGCATAGCTTTTGTGTTTTGTTCACAATCGCCATTGTTATCCAATCAATATTTTCAGAGCAAAATCGAATAAGGAAGTGGTTTTGATAGTTGTCTCAATTGTATTCGCTAGACCGAAACCTTCTTCAACATATAGAGTAACACTGAATAGACATGAAATGATGAAGATAGTCTCTACTTTCATTGATAATTTTATGATAGAATAGTCTTTTTTTCTTTGTAGAATATTGTGGCCCTTGATAAAAAAAAATTGAACCGAGATTCTAATTTCAAAGAGATGATTAGATCAAGTCTTTGTCTGAAAAATATGTAGTTTTACATCCAATTAATGATATTTATACGGAAACATGAGAGTTATAAATAATTCTGTTTTAACGTATTAGAACTACAGAATTGAGAACAAATCGGAATTCATTTTCATAAAAATCCTCTTTATTGTCAATGTTAGGAAACGATGAAATAGAGTGACAATTTTTTGATGATCGATATCACATTTGAACATCTAATTATTAAACAATTTATTCTCTAAATATATTCACATTTTACAGTTTTACTATATACATTCATCTTCATATTTACATCATTTTGTGATTATGAAGCAATATTTTTCTTGATTGATAGATCAGTGAAATCGATTTTGAATCTCATTTTTCATTCAAACGATCAAAATTTTTCTGAAAATTAGCATAAATGAATCACTCATTGAATTTGCATTACTGTTGAATTGATCTAAAAGCAAATCGTTTTCAATCATCGATTTTTAATTCCCATTCGTATTACGAATAGAGTCTTGCTGTTTGTCGATTGTTCAGGGAGATCATTAGCATAGGATTCGATCGGATGTGATTTGATGAGTTCTGCTGATCAGAATTATATGTGTACATATTGATGGTGCATTCACTCAGCAAAAAATGTTCTTCCATTAAAAACAATTGCTAATAAGCGTAGCAGCCTATAAATAGTAGGATGATAAAAAAAAAATAACGTGACACTACATCAGTTCGTTCGACTAGGCTGATTCTTTGACTGGCGCGACAAATTTACTCGAAGACTCATGTCTATTTTCATAGGAGCAATGAAAACAAATATTCATATTAATTCCCATTTTTGAGCTCGCGTTACTTAAATATCTATACTGCGTTTAAAGATTATGTTCCATCATCAACTATTTCAAGAAATCATACCGTTGTACATAGACAAATGAATGAAAATTTAAAATGTATTGAACGGAGAAAAAATTACTGATGAAAAATACATAGAAAATGCGATCCTTAATTTCAAATATGAACGACATTAAGGTTATAAGTGACCGTATTTAAACCCACACCCAGCAAAATGTATCCTACAAATTTTGATTATATTTAATTTCCTTTGCCGGCATTCTATTTTCAGCTTGCTTTTCTGTCCGTATTTTTCCATCAGTTAGGTTCATAAGTACCAAAAGAACACACATGAAAATCTAATCTACTTGTTTGAATTGTTTCTATTCGATTTTTGTAAATCATCGTTGAATGTTAACTTAAAGTAATTCTTTGTATTTCATAACATGTCAAACTATTTAAGCGAGGTCAACGACAGTGCTTTATAAAAGTAGTAGTATTAGTCTAGTTCATGGAGAATTTTTTTTTGTACTATATTTAGAAGTAATTAGAAAAAGAAAGATTTCAAGGAAATACATGCGCGAAGAAGTACTTATCGGGTGTCCCAGGAATAATGAACCTCTCAGTATTTTACCAATATCTCCGTCAGTTTTCGTCGCACAGATTTAACTCTTTTCACCAAAAGATGCCTCGTTCAGTTCTCTACAAAACCGTATAAAACGTTTTAATGTAAAAAGGAACCGTGAAAAATTCTAGGCTACAGACTACAAGACACCAAAATGACGGATTTTGCAAATTTGTTTTGCCAATTTTTATTATCTTAGCGGTGGTGAGATGTGCGATAAACAGAAAAACTGAATGAGTGATTGCGTAGCCCTAGAAAAACTCTTTCTTGATGGGAATTAAAAATTCCATTCAACACTTTAGTTCTCATATAGCCAAGCTTTTTCTTTTCCACATATTTCGAATTTTTCGGCAGGGCTTTGGCGCTACTTTGGAAAATTCCGACGCCTATGTCCTAAACTAACTTTTTATGCTAAATTATTGTTGCTCATTTTAGGGCAAATGATTAGCCTACCAAGCCTATGCAATGGCCTGTATATATTCTTTGCTTTGTATAAAAATGTGGCTTGATAAAACGAATTTCGACGATTTCACGTTATTTTGTAAGAAATATGACCATTTGTATAGTACTATCCTGTTCAAACGACCTACATTAAAGATCATGAGAACGAAGATATTTGAAAATATCAAAAAGCAGGAACGAGCACAACTAGGCGCCTGCCAAGTCATAGATAAAAGATAATTAGTTTTTGAAAAAAACGCAGTTACAAAACTCATCATTTTGGTGTCTTGTAGTCTGTAGCCTAGAATTTGTCACGGTTCCTTTTTACATTAAAACGTTCTATACCGTTTTGTAGAGAACTGAATGAGGAATCTTTTGGTAAAAAGAGTTAAATCTGTGCGACGAAAACTGACGGAGATATTGGTAAAATACTGAGAGGCTCATTATTCCTGGGACACCCGATACTATCATTTCATGTGAAAATAGAAAGAAGAATTTATGCACATAGTTCACATTGATCCATACATTGAATACCTAATACAAGTACAAAGTACAACTTTTAAGTAGAAAGTATTTGAACTTGTACACTTACTGTACTGGTATCTATCTAGTCCAATGTCTGCATTGATCGAAAGCAGTTATCACAATAAATACATAGTGATTTATCTTTTGTTATTAATCAACAATTTAGAATTCAACAAGCAGTTTTAACTATGCGAACTAATGAAATTATACTTCCACAGGATATGCGATACAGATAACGAAACTCTGTTTATGTTTATCTCATGGAATTAGTACGAAGATTGAAAATATGTTGAATGTTACCAACGCGATCGATCTATTGCTATACGTATCAGAATAAAATTATAATTAACATAATGATACGATATAAATCAATAATAGTTTCAAGTAGTTGAGTAAGAAGCATTCAAAAACAAAATATAAGATTGTCTACAAGTAGCAATAGCATTAAAAATTTCGCTTCAATCAGAACGAAGAGTTCAGACTGCAATATTGTAATGAATAATTTAAAGTCAGGAGATCTTTAAATCTGTTATTGCTGAATCAATTCTTATTGTTTACGTATACAGTGACTCATCGTTGCCTTTTATATATTTTGAAACTGGTAAAAAAAAGAAGTGCCTGATGTTCTCAGAAATAGTAAAAATCTGCAACAATATAGGTTTCCGCTTTTTATACTTCATTAGGGGGCAATCCTGTAAAAGACACGTAAGAGTATTAGTTAGATTGAAGTTAAAGAAGGCGTTATGAAGTGAACCTAGATGAATCGTTTGAAATCTCCAGCTTCTGCTTTTCCAGTGATGAATGTTAATTGTACAACGTATTAAATCTTGAATTTTGACCATTCTCTTTTTCGTTGAAAATTAGAAAACAGAAGTGAAGTCTGGAATTCATTACGAATCGTTCATAAATAGGGGTAAATAGTTTGTTTGTTGTGCAATATATTTGAGTGATGCAGAGGTAACAACTCAATATCAACAGTTAAATCAAAACTATTAGTAGAGTAGATCTAATGAAAAAAAAATAATCTTTTGGCATCTATAATTCCAATCCTTAGACCTGAAATGAGTGTTTGATTTATATTCTTTGATTGGTGATAGTATTTCGGTTGTTGAGTTGAAACGTGGCTATACTGTTGATATCTTTAGATCGTGTTTATCCTATGAATATCAAATGCTAACAAGATTTTCTCATTGCCGATAAATAGAGAAACACTGTGACCAACCATGCAGTATATGTTTACTGATACTAAGCATTAGAATAGAACATAGTGTGTACTTTAGATTTCGATTCAACCACAACAAAAATCTCTTTCGATTAACCGAAAAAAAATCGTTATCCTACTGTAGTAAATCAATATGTCAAATATATGTAGGTGCTCAATATAATTGAAAATGAGAAGATAACTGTAGCATGAATTTCTGTCGTAATCTTATAAATTAAAAATATTGTCTTTTAGATACTGTTTTTCATTGTTAATTTTGCACGTATTACACAAAAAAGCTTCAATCAAATTGATTTCATGGGCACGGAATAAATTTATGAAGGAGGGTAATAATAGTTACTTTCAGTTACTTTTTTCTTCTACTTCTATCTAATCAAATGCATCGTTGCGAATTATTTATCGATAATGTTTTCATGATAAGATGCAAGTATGAAAATTTTGTTTACCAATATTGCAACTGATTAATTCTTGACGCGTGATATGAATCCTTGGCAGAGTTAATATTTGAAACCAATGAAAAAGTTTAACATAAGAGGTCACTTTAAATGTATCTCGCAAATAATGCACACTACATAAAAAGTTAAGAAGAAAAGCAATGAATGGAGAATACATCAGACCTATAACGATTTTTACTTACTGTCATTTCATATTTATCACATCTTTTTTTTCAAGATCGATTGATTTAATCCATGGCAACAATCGATGCTGATAATCGACGTGAAATCGCTCGATTACCTACTAGACCAGTGAGAATAAATCAACGATTAATTTAATATTCTTTGTCTCTGTTTTTCATCTATTTAGATTTCACTTGAAGATCGTTATGACCCTCCCGCTAATTTTCTTGAAATTGAAATTCTCAATCCTGAAACGCACGGTTTTGGCAATAAACGATATACCGATTATGAAATTCGAATGAAAGTAAAAAAAAAGAATTCTTACAATTATTCAAATAAACTGTTTTTGTTTTGTTTTATTATAGACAAATTTGCCAGTATTTCGTATAAAAGAATGTTCTGTACGTCGTCGTTATTCAGATTTTGAATGGTTACGTAGAGAACTTGAGCGAGATAGTAAAGTTAGTTTCACTTTTCAAAAAAAAAGGAAACACCGTTTTTAACTTTTATTTCTCAAAGATTGTGGTTCCATCATTGCCAAGCAAAGCATGGAAACGTCAAGTACCGGCATTTCTTCGTCGTGATGATGGCATATTCGAAGATGAATTTATTGAAGAACGACGTAAAGGACTTGAACAATTTATTAACAAGTAAAATGAATATGATTTTTAAATAAATAAAAATGGCTATATCGAATTTTTAGAGTGGCTGGCCACCCATTAGCACAAAATGAACGTTCGCTACACGTTTTCTTGCAAGATACAACTATTGATTATGATAAATATGTTCCCGGCAAAGTTCGTAATTCATAAATAGAAAATTCAAGCGATCAATGCTTTATACATAGAATTTTTATATGCGATTCGCTCTTGTTTCTGTTCTGCTTCATCTATAGCATTTATTTATTTATCTATTTCGATTTGCTATTACATATTTGTTGCTTTTTTATTTCATTAAAATAAAATGGATTTTATTATTCGCGATATTTATTTTGAATTATAATAAAAAATATCATATTAAAATATGTCTGGTGAATATTTCTACTGTTATGGTGTTGTCTTTCTTTTATTGTTAAGTTAACATTAAAAATTTATTGAATATTAGTTTTGTTTATTTCTAATTTATGGGCATAGGAAAGTTCGGTGTGAAGTTAATCTAGAATTCATTTCTATGTTTTATAAGATAATTCAATGCAAAAGAAGTTTTCATACTAGTTCGAATAGAGTTTTTCTCATAACTTCGAAAATCTCTGAAGAGATAGACATTCATGCATGTTTTATGCACTGTGTAAGTACCTGTCACTTCTTCGTATTAAATTTACTCTGCGCCATCCGATGCTATGGAAAGATTCCTTGGAGTTTGTGTTATTTTAACTGATGAAATCGAGTAGATAGAACATGAAAAGTCGCAGAAAATGCATGAATCTCTGAAATTTTAAGCCCAAAATGAGAATATTTCCGGTATTGATTTATATTTCATGTAATCTGATCAAAACTTTTAAATATCGAGCAGGCCAGATCAAAAATTTTAGTTCTGATGCTAAACGAGAATTTGAAGCAGATTTGATCAATATCTTCATTTCCAACCAAATATATGCCATTCTTTTGTCGCATTAAAAGTATTGAATGACAGAAAAACAAGATTTACGCAACTGCAAAAACAGATGCTTTTTAAAATCAACATTTACGCAGCGACATTGTGTAAATCTATTGCGTTCTTATAGTAAGAAATGTAGACATTTTGAATGTGCTGAGTTTTAAAAGTACAGTTACAACTTCTTATGTCACAGAAGATGATTTTTCTTAAAAAGTTCTCTTACGATTTATTCTCAAGAAATTAATCTTTCTATGTACACACATGCATGATTCACTTCGTCTCTTAATGTAATAACGATGTTGCAATGTTTTTATTGCTTGCAGTACTTGTCTAGGTACAACAAAGCCTATCAATCGAATCTACTTGCAGCTATCAGAAGGCCTATTAAAAGATAAATTCGTAGCATCGAAAAAGAACTATTCTTTTACTATTATAATGATCACCAATTTTTATTTCAATAATAGAGTTTTTCTTTCACGATGAACTATTCCTTCTATTTGACCTATCCAACATCACGATACTGCTTGAATATCTTTTGTTCTTCTACTATAAAAGGCCAAGATTAATTTAAACAACAGATACGGAAAAAAACATTTCTAATGTAATAGAACTTATTTACAACAAAAAGTCACTGGTTTGGTTGTTCGTGGTTGATGTAGAACTTTTCTAATATCAATGGGAAAAGTCCTTCAGACATAAGTTAACAAATATTCTGGATAACACTAAAAAAAAACAAAGAAGAAAAGTAACTTATCAATTCTATTTTTTTGATTTCTTTCTACATACTTGACTATCGTGATAGCAAACAAAGATATGATTACCATCCGTTGTTGTATCAAATCCATCTAGAACAAAAGAAAACTTTCAAATTATTTATCCATTCTTTTGTTTTTCGATTTATTAAATTACCGTTTGGCTGGTTTATTGTCGAGTTACCGACTGAAAAAAAAAGATTAATAAATGTGTTAATCAAAATTCCTTTGCGATCAAATATAAAGTCATAACTCACTCATACTTCGACCAATTAAAACGCGACTGTAGAACATTCGTTTTTCATTGTTTCCATTTGTTTTTGCAAATCGATTGGAATAGTCTGCATGCTTTGAGAAATATACTCCACGTCCGTAACAACATCCTAAGAGAATAAATGTATCAGTGTTTTTAGGGTACGAAAACTTGGAGTATTCTATCTGCCGACAGGATTGAATAAACTCTAATTGGCTATGGTGGTACCATCTATAAAATAAATACAGAGAAGCATCAAAGTCATTAGTTCACTAAGTGCAGCAACAGGATGTAAGAAAGTAAGTTTATCTATCTTTCTCGAAAAATCAGTTAAAACGCCTCTCACGGCACACTCGAGGTTTTAGGGATTACGTTTTGTTATAAAACTATATGATTTTTGTAGAAAAACGACCCGTTTGTCTCTAAGCTATATCGCATTAAATTTTAACAAAAATTAGTTTTACCATTAATTCCACAATAATTTCGATTGAAACCACGTTCAATAATTTGATTCGAAGCCGACTCAGGACAACCATGAAATAGATAATGTATAGCTGCAAAGTCATTATTACCGTATTTGTTAATAAAACATTCATGTAATGCGCAAAATTGCTTGAATAAACATAAGTTTTGAATACGTTCAATAGATTTAAGTATCTCCTAGAGAAAAAAAAATAGAAATCATATTAAATAGATTCACAAGAGAGTTCTTGAAATTTACGTAATGTCCTTCCATTTTTTTGTCAAAATTATCTCTAACCATCAGATACTCTTTTGATATTCCGTCAAGTAGAAATCGTTCTCTAAAATAATAAATCAATGATTGAATATAGAAAAAATAAATACGAAACATACAAAGCCAATGGAGTAAGAGTCCAGTAGTTTGGCTGTAATTCGTCAATCTTTGAGCGACGGATACGTTTTTTTCGTTGACCATAAATTTCTTCCCTCCTGTTAATATCAAAAGATATTGTTTCGCCAATATCATTGATTAACGTAAACTAGAGAAAAACTCAAGTAAACTTATATATTTATTTATAAGCCAAAAATACTTGCATTGAATATATTTGATTTATAATGATGTTCTATCTCATTTTTAATTTTAACATTATACATTTGCCATGAACCATCCCATGCTTCATACCACCAAAGAATGCTACTTGCACTTTCTTGTTTAGCATTTTGAACAAATAGTTCGTTTTGTATTTCGAAAAATCGTTGCTCTATTCAATAAAAAAGACAAGTTTAATTAGTTAAAATCATAAATATATCGATCTAAGACAATAGAACGTGTCAAGTTAAATTAATGAGGACTAGAGGGCGGCACTCCCTGCGTGAGCTCTTCTATATTATTTAAGAAACTGGTAAAATCCAACTGTAATATTTAAGACTTACATCGCCTCGTTGAATGAGAAAAGATAAGTTGAATATTTTCATTGTATATAAATATTTCATATTGATGTTAGATAATGAATCATCAAGAAATTTTTCAAAGAGTGACATTGTGCAATATATTTTACAGTTACGTAGCCTTCAGCAACTTATCACATTCATTTCACTCAACTATTAATCATGATATACTCAGGTGAAAAAATATGCTATAAATATGACTCGCATAGAAAGGTAGAGGGTTATATTTCTTAATTTGAGCTGTAAAAAACTAGCTGGACTCGATCACCCAATTTTCAGTTCAACGTTTGTTGAATCCAAATAAAACTAGTATTTTACCTGCTTCTGTAGCTGATTTCATAGTTCCATATAGATATAATTGCTTTATGTTGAACTTGAATATAGGTAAAACATGTCGTTCGGAACAAAATTCAATATATTCATTAAGCATGGGCTGATTTTGTTGAAGTAATTCATGGTATTGTATAGAAAGTATACGATCTTGATAATTATTAGCGAGTTCACCCGAATGTCTGTGTTCCATTAGTTTTTTAATATAATGTAATAATTCGCGTGTTAATAACAATATGCTACTGTCCCAGAGCTCGATTTTAAATGAAGATTTAAGTAGTAGAAATGCTGACTCATATAAGATTTTATACGTCCAGATGATTCACGGAATGTTCGAGAAGCGAACAAAAAAATTGAATATTACCTAGACTGATCAAATTTGTTTCATACAACCTATGTCACATTTTTGAGAAGACAAATTTGTCTGAACATTATGAAATTATATTGATTATGAATAACATACACAAGAAAAAGAAATCGGATATTTCTTAATCATTATTATATAAATGTCTTGCAATGATGAGTCGACGTTTTTTTTTACAAACCTCGAAAAGATACACATTTTGGAGAAAAGTCAGAAGACAAACTTGAAAAAGAACGATAAAAATACGATCGGAAAAAACCTAGTTGTGACGTGTCAATAGTGACATCTATTATAATACATGACTCTCCCTCTATTAGAAGAGGTTCTATTTTAGGTTGGTTGTTTCGTATGCAAAGGATCACCAATAAACACATATCTATATTGTATGGAATACGTTTGAAATTCGACAATAATTCCGTTTATATCAACTCTAAATTCTCAACAGTTCGTATTTTTTCTTCGTGTGATTTAATTCCATAAATGGGTCCATTCCGAGGAGGTATGAAATTTTTAGAAAAGTCTTTCTGTATTATTATCATGTATTTATTATTTAGGACGAGGAGATTCTAGAGGAGGAGGTGGTGGCCGCGGTGGTGGTGGAGGTTTCCGAGGTCGAGGTGGCGGCGGTGGTCGTGGAGGAGGTGGCGGTAGATTCAATCGTGAGCCCGAAGGTCCACCCGACACAGTCGTTGGTAAGAAATTCTTTGTTCTTATTCATTTTCTTTCATTACGAATTCAATTTATTAATAGAAATTGGATCGTTTGAACATCCGTGTGAAAGTCAACTTGTATGCAAAGCAACAAACGAGATGATTCCATATTTCAATGCCGGTATTTTTCTTGAGAATAAAAAGCAAATTGGTAAAGTCGATGAAATATTTGGTCCCATGAAACAATATGTACGAAAGAAAAACAAATTTGATGATATCTAACATGCATTGCCTATTTTTCTTTATTTAGTGGTTCTCCATATCACTCTTGGAAAATATGAATCCAAGTTCATTTAAAAAAAATGAAAAAGTATTTGAATAGGTTTTATTTTTGCTGGAAAATTTTCTTTTTCTTTTCTAGCTTTTCGTCGATCCAAATAAACTTTTGCCATTAGGTCGATTTTTACCCAAACCACCAGGAACAAAATCATTTGGAGGAGGTGGTGGACGTGGAGGACGAGGCGGTGGTGGTGGTAGAGGTATGCTATTATTTTGTTCAGTTTAATACGAGAAAACTAATCTTAACTCAAGCTAAAAGAAAATGTTTTTCATTTTTACTCTCTCGAAAACATTAATATCACTTTCCTATCTCGAATTTAATAAAATTGGCTTTTCTTTTGTTTCTAGGCGGATTCCAACGTGGTGGCCGAGGCGGCAGCGGTGGTGGCGGAGGTTTTCGTGGTGGTCGAGGTGGCAGCGGTGGTGGTGGAGGCTTCCGTGGTGGTCGAGGTGGCAGTGGCGGCCGAGGTGGTGGCGGTGGATTCCGTGGTGGTCGAGGACGTGGCAACTAATGTTGAAAAAAAAAGGAATTTGTTTTTCTTTTTGTTGTTTTTGTCATTTTTTGTATGACAATTATAATCATTGTTGTTGTTTCTTTTCTACTCGTTATATACACAAAACACACAACATAAAATAAAATACACAAAAAAATACGGCTGTCTTTTCTCAGATTTATCGTGGTATTGGTTTTGATAGTACAATCAGTATAGCTGAAATAATTCGAAGAAAAGTACCAATAATTATAATCAAATAATTTCTTCGACCAGAAATTTCTTTAAAATAAAATATTGACCAAACTATTGCAATTGTGCCAGGTCCTATTGTTACTAATGGAAATGAGATTGCTTGACTGAGAATACTATTTGCAACGAGAAAGCCAGCTTGTGCAATACCCCACATAATACCGGACACAATACCTGGCAATATGCTTTGAATATGAATATACGGGCGATTACGTTTAAGAGCGATGTAAACTACATAGTAAAACATGGACGAAAAAAATATACCAGAATACATTGCAAATACATAATGAAGACCATTTTTCGATGCCGCTGGATATTTGTTCGGATGATCTTGAATATAAGTACTTGGTGTAAAAACAAAACCAAATAGAACACCAGCAATCGCAGCTAATATACAACCGATAATACACATTGATAAAGGTTTAGATGTTGAAACAGTGTTCGCTGTTAGTACAGTATCATTGGGTTTGTTTTCGACTGATGATGATTGAAGAATGGGTTGTTGTTCGTCTGGATTTTCAGCAATTTCTTCTTGTTGTACAGTTCGTATTGCTAAAAATGCAATACCACTTACACAAGCAATTGTAACACCGATGTAATTCAGAATTGGCTTTTCAACATTTTCTGGTAATAAACCAAACCAACCAAAATGTCCACTAGCCCAACCTGATTAAAACAATAAATTGAAATTGAAATTTTATGCTGTAAACTTACCAACAAGCATATTTGTTGTACACCAAAGTAACATTGACATTCCAAGACCATTCATACGAATAACAAGAATGCTTAGAATATTTCCTGTTGTCCATAATACTCCGCCTATTAAAACTAACGGGAAAAATTGAGGACTTTGTACAAATAAATTAATAATTAGACCAACAATCCAAATACCACAACACATAAAAAATTGAAATGATAAACCATCGCCAATAGGATATTTTCCAGCTGGAACGAGATTCGAACCAAAGAATAGTACTGCAATTACAACAGATAGATATCCAATCCAAAGTGGACTATCTGTATCATGAGATGGAGAGATGGTTGTTGTATTCAGAGTTGTTAATAAGAGATTCATTAGCCTCGCTTTACCAAAATTTTACCTTTTTAAATCATATGAAGATAACAAAAGTCGATTAGGAATTGTTCTCTTTCTGTGTTTTACCTCATTGAATCTGCACGTGAAATACACCATCGAATAGCGTAATAGAATTCAAAAGTCGCTAAAGTACGTCGCTACTATATCATATTGATATATATATTTTTTTTTCTTACTCAAGGTTTATTACGAAATAGGCATGGCTACTCTCGTATCAATACACTTCACTCTAAATGATACACTTGAAAAATATTCTTTGGGTTTTATGAAGTATTAAGTAGAACATTTAATTTATTTTTGAATAAATAAAATAACTGATGTAGATTTCGTTTCAATTATAACGATAAGGAATCACATGTCTTCACCTGCACACCCTTTTTCAGGCTCTAATCAAGTTGTAATTTAAAATAGCATAGATAAAAAAAAATAAAACTATATATTGTTTCTTTGTATCATATTTACTCTTCAAACAAGTTTACATGGAGGAGACAATCAGAAATTCACATCAAGCTCATGCTCTTTTTGTTCTACCTGAAAACAACAAACCAGTTAAAGAACCAACAATTCAATTAACTAATGAGCAAATTGAATTTTTTAACACAAACGGTTTTTTAAGTATTGACCATTTCATTGATGACGATGAAATAACTTATATTCGTGATCAATACGATAAAGTACGATTATGATTGATCCAATAGGAAATTAATTTTATTATTTTCTTGTAGTGGTTTGCTGCTAAAATCGGCCGGGAACATGGCAATTTTTTTGATTTACTCTCCGAAGATACCGATGACAAAGAAGCAGTTGCGCCACAACTTTTATGGCCATCAATTTATGGCAAAAACATGACAGGATTCGATTTATATAATACTCAAATGTATGCAAATGCTTATGCTGTCAGCAAAACTCTACTTGGTGATGGTACAAAATTTAAAGGAGTAGGCCGATCGAAAAATTAATAATTCGCCCATCAATAGCTGTTTCATCTCTAGGATCATGCTATCATGAAACCTCCAACATCTAATTCGCTTCCGACTCCATGGCATCAAGACGAAGCTTATTGGGATCCAACATTAGCCTATGAATCGCTTGGCGTGTGGGTTGCTCTACAACCCGTGTCAATCGAAAATGGTTGTATGCAGTTTATACCTGGTTCTCATCGTCTATCGGATGTACTTTCTCATCACACTCAAAATAACAATCCACGTATTCACGGACTTGAAGTTGATAATCCAAATGAATATGTAGAAAACATCAGTTCATGTCCTCTCCCAAGCGGTGGTGCTACATTTCATCATTGCCGTACGCTACACTATACTGGTCCTAATCAATCAAATGAGCCGCGTCGTGCTTATATATTACAATTTCAATGCGATACAAAAAAACGTGATCAACCACGGCCGAACGTTTGGAATGAAATGAAAATCACTGAACGTGAAAGACGAGCAAAGGAAAGTGGTTGGAATCTCCGAGCACCTTGACGTAAAAGCATTTATCCAGAATATCATAACAAAAATATGTTTCTTTCTATAAAAATACAGTAGTGTAAACAAAACAAAAATAAACCAATAATTATGCTAAAGTTATTCTCTGTGGCCATTGTCTGTTTAATGTATCAGGTTCTTCAAGTTGAATGATATTATCTAGATCATCATCAGGTGATTGCCAAGTGTCAAGAAATCTAATAAAAACAAAAACTCGAATCATTGATGTCATGAAAATCAACTAAACACAGTCACAGGATAAAATACATGAGATTGATGTTATTTAAATTATAAACTAGAAATTTGTCCGTTTCTTTCTTTTTCTACTGATACTATTTTTAGCATGCTACCTAATTTCTATACAAAAAAGTGTTATACATACCGTCTATAGGGTGTTGGCTTTCGTCGATAATAGATAAACCCAATACTGACTACCACCACTACTGCTACTATTATAGAAGTGATAAGCCACCACCTCGATCTTGATGAAGCTATTTAAATTAAAATATTTTGTTTCTAATATGATACATATTTATCGATGAAAAACAAAAGAATGTGAAATTCTCCACAATAAACTCTATAATTATGGTCAGTGATTTTCAAATTTACTTACATGTCTTAGAAGAACCATTATTAACATTCAATGTAGTTAGCTGTTCTACAGATGTTGTATTCAACAATGCAGAGATCTGTAAAGTTGTTGTTGTTATTGTTGTTGATACGGTAGTTTTCGCTGTTTTTGTAGTCGCATCGGGCGCATTTTCTGTAGTACTGACAATCAAACGTGTTGTCGTACTGAGATATATAACTGTTGTTGTTGTTGTGTTTGCTACATCAGTCTTATTTTCTATGGTTGTAGTAATAGGTGTAGCTGTTGTAATATTAGCATTTGATGTTGATACACTAGTAGATATTGTTGGATTTTCTGGTTGTGACTTTATTAATTGATAGGAATTTGAAAATAATAATATGCCGATGAACACTATACATACAAATTATCTTAATAGGCAGTTAAATAAACAGTAAACAACAATTGTTACTTACAATGAAAAGATGCCATGGTAACTAAAAACAATAATCTAAAAAATATAGGCCAGCGATTATTAAAATAAAAAATGCATTTATTATGTCAAGTTTTTGTTAGTTTAAATAGAATAGAAAGGAAGAAGAAAAAAAGTGGAATTTTAAAAATAAAATTTAATATTTTATTACAAAATAGGAAAAGAATAATAAAAAGTCTCGGTGTCAATAAACGTTTATGAAAAGAAGCAATGTATATCTGGAAAAATAGATTTATTGTCATCTGTAGTCGTGTTATTGATGATTTGCATTGAAAGAAAGGAAAAAGAAATGAAGAAGTAAATGACACGTTCTTTATTCGCTCCGATTTTTTCTCTGTTTTTGCTTTTTTCCTCCTCTAAGGCATCTCCGTCACATATTCGTCATACGATTGAGTAAGCGGAGCTCAAGAGAAAAGGTTGTATTCACTATCCATAGAATAAAAAATAATAATAATCGTATCGTAAATAAAAGAAGTTTTTCTTTGTTTTAAATATGCAGAATTTTCATAAAACACTTCATTTATCATATGTTAAATATGTGATACAGGATCTTAATAATGGCATGCAATCAAATATTTTGAAAACTAAAAGAACAGAAAAAGTATCATGATTATAGATCGATCCTACCAAAATCTTTTGTAGTAAATAGAAAAAAAATTCAATCAATTGACAAAATGAAATAAAAGAAGATATATATATATATAACTGGTTGTTCTCCGATTAAGCTAATATTTCTGTTATATCATGATGAAAACAATAAAAAAAAGAGTGAAGCAATATTTTTTTATTTTTTAGCTGAAACGGAAGAGACAATGATGCTTCCTGCCGAGCGGAAAATGAGACGGAGTTACGTGACTGAACAACGCAGAATATACGGAAGATGTTGGCACGTACTAACAATAGTTTAACAGCTAATGTATGTAAAACTAGATTTTCAATATTTAATAAATAAAACTTTAGAATAATAAACAATCGAAATATTCCACATCAGTTAGTATATGACAGGAACATCTTCTACAACTATTAAAAGAATTTATTATTACAAACGAAAAGAACAAATTTCTTGCCTGTAAAGCAAAATTTTGAAGACTAAATGCTTAAATTATATGGTTTGTGATCGTCAGTCATGCTACTGAAATTCTTTTAACTAATGTGTTTTTTCTATTTTTGAAAGTGATCCACGCGTCAACTTCTTCACTACTATTCAATCTTGAAGTGTCTTTCACTAATTGTTCAATTACGCTTCTACGAAGAATAAATATGTAATATTTTAGGAGCTTCGAAATAACCGAGATATGATGCTTGCCACTGATACATCCACTAGTCGATGGTCCAACTAAGCAAGATACAATACCTGATGTCGAACGTACTATTTCACGACATGAAAGTGCTAGATTTAGTTATTGGTAAAATCTATATATTGGCTTGTCCAAACGTAACGCTGTGACATTTTGACAAATTGTTTTGCAATTATCTTGAAAGGCATCAGAGCTAACAAGGTTATTTAAACATCATTCGACGCAGTTTATCATAATCTATCTATATTGCAAAAATGATCCAGTTTGACTGAACTCTCGCATTTCTAGAAAGGTTTTATCATCGCGTAACACTGGCAAAAAAGGACCTTTTTCTCTAGGGCTGCTTATAAAACTCTAATTTTTTGACAAATTCTTTCTTCAAATGAAATGCTTATGGTACCAGCTTTGTCGAGAACTGAATGGGTTTTCAAGCGTAAAAAATCTTTTTTTCTAAACTATTTTCGCTCAGATACAAAATGCAAACAAACGTAACACTGTGACATGTTTTTTTGTCGACCAAATTTGAAGCACTTCACATGCTTAAAAATATTTCATGTTTCTATATATTGATCACTGCTGTAGATATATCCTTCTGTAAAAAAAATCAAGTTGCTTCATTGAAATAGGAGCTCAATAATTGCACAGTAAGTTAGAAAGTGTACAAGAGCTTCGAAGCTGCCCTGAGAAATGAGAGTAAAAACTAAATAAGCCATTTTGTACAGAATCAAATTCTGCATCTAATGGTATATTACGATGCATTTTTATTTTAAACTTCTTGGTTAGAAAATTGAAAATACGATTTTTAAAAACTTTAAAATGCAGTTTTATGCCAAAACTCAATTTGTTTTTAAAGAAAGTCAAAGTTATTGCTTCTATTTTTATTGGAGTTATAATTCTCGCCATATTAATATCTGCATTAGGCGTCCGAAAAAGTTAATTATACTTTTATTAATTAAAATTTAAGAAATAAATAAAAGACAATACAAATTGACATGTAAAACTTGCTTTTGCGTTCGAAAAAAGGTAAAAATAAAAAGACACGATATTATGTTTGATTTATCACAATGGCACTAATTCAAGTAGATCATTATCTTCATATAATTTGTAAACATTACGATAGACAATTTCAATTATCGGAAAACATTTATCAGCCGTATTGGGCTCGATTTCACCACGTAATAAAGTTTCATGCAATACTTCACGTTTAGGTATTGTTGCTGTTGCCAACCAAATACTTAATTGAAGTGCTTTATTATGTCGTTTATGTAAAGTTTCTTTGTATACATCCCAAGCAACTTGTTTTGTTGATGATGACCCCGTCGGCGTGACGATAGCGCGTTTTAAGAAAAAATAAATAAATTGTAAAGCTCTTAGTAAACGTAAGAGTGTAACGCATCCAATTTTGTCATCTTTGGACGTTTCATATTCAATCATGGTTTGTAGAGTTTGATAATCTTTAGGATTATTTTTACAAAGATTCTCAATAATATTAAATTTATCAACAAGATCATGTGCAACGAATGAAAATACTACATTCAAATGATTAAAAAACCTATTTGATGAAACAAAAATAGTTGTAAAATAATTCAGTGCGTTGTAGATTCTCACTTTGATAGTTCTCGAAATGCAAAAATAAATTGATAAAGATGAATTGATTTATGATCGAACTTGTCAATCACATTATCGAAACTTTTGTAGACATTGTCAATACTATACTCACCTGTTATGGCGTGGGTCATCGCAGCAATAAAATCGAAAGAATAAAAAATAAATTAACTGAGGAAGCATTTTTAAATGTTGAGTCAATGAGTCACAGCCTATGAATGATTACAGGTGAATAAAAAGAGGTCACAAGTAGTTTAAAATCTTATATTTTTTAATATTAACAATCTCCTACAATTTATTGTTAAATAGCGAAGGACAATATTCTAGTTAAATTTTTGTTTTTCAATGATCAAAAAAAAACAAATTAATTGAAAAATCATATAGTACTTACAAAAATTTTGAACTATAATGGGTTGACTCGTTAATAGATCTCGAATACTATAGTGAGTAATCTCTAAGAAAAAATCGTTCATTACTATTCCCTTTCACAAACACTTCAGTAAGACAAAGTTATAATGAAAAAGAATCAAATCTTTCAGTCTGATTCAATTGAAATATTTATGTATGCTAATTTTCAATTTCAAAAATGTTCGATCTCCTCACCAATCTATGATCAGCATGACTACTTTCTATATTGTGCACAGTTGCCTAAAGTGAATACTTGAAAATGTTGTCTCAATAACTATTGATAGACTGTTGTCGTCTATTCAACAAATGAAATTCTTTAAAGATAAATGTTCGATTTGACTAATTTTGCATTAGTTTCGTGATTACTCACAAAATAACTTTTTTATTCCTTATAACATCCTTTTCATTTTAAATTCATATGTCATTTGCAGGTGACTTAACATCAATACGGTAAATATTTATGAGAAGATTTTTGTTAGTAATTACATGCTGTGAATGAATTAAACACTTTTCACAGTATAGTCTATTCTAGTGAACAAGGTCAGTTCTGCAACATGAATATTACAATCAATATGAAAGCGGTAGAATACAAACAATTAATCGTATGTGACTGACTGATAAATAAAACATGTCCAAAAGATACTTTTCACATGAGTGCATTTCAACAAAAGCTCATAATCAATTGTTCAATAGTTATAATAATACTTTGTAATCTCACTATATTCGTAATTTAATTCGATCCGATCACCTCTTGTGTTGATGGATTGTACTTGTTAGGGTTCAATCGTAAGTCAAAACAACAGAGTGAGACAATATTCACAGAGTTCATTTTCAGATCTACGTATATTTGCGAGACAGATAAATCAGAAACACAAGAATATATCGGAACGTGAGAAATTGTGTCGCATGAATAATAACTCTATATTTAAAAGCCGTGGACTTTGAGTTGTTCGACTTGACATATACCGATTTCTTCGAGAAATTGACTTACATTGATTCGTTGGTCACTTTGCAGTTGAGTTACTGCACCATATTCTTGATGTTCAACTACTGTGCCATTACAGGCAAATTTCTTTTCGAACGCACGTAATAGACGTTTTTTTTATTGAATTCCTCACCAATACCCTAAAAATAATTTGATTTAATTAAATCAAACCAAGAAAAATATGACCAATACTTGAACTGTAGTTAAAGTATTTTTTGTGGCTTCGTTGCTGAATACGACTATGGATTAAATTGGAGCTACGTTGATCGCCGGTACCACCGGTTGCTCCACTGCCTAATGTGCTCGGCCCAGTAACATCGGCAAACGGGCCAGCCGAACGAAGATTAATGATATTCTGATCGGTCATACGATAAAAGAAAAGGAAAAAACTGGTTTCAGTATATTCACTATCACTGGTTGAAATTTAACTCTCGTCTATGTATATATAGTATTAGTTTGGAATAATGAGTAATCTAAAATAAGAATTACGTAATAATCGTTGCATAATTTACGTTGAAAATAATTTTTTGTTCTTGTCAATAATCTCAAATGCACAAACAATATATAATTATTGAAGAAGAGAGAGAGAGAAAAACAGGGTATAGATACTTATAAAAGATAAGATCTAGGAAATACGCTAACAAACAAATAAAATCACATAAAAATATGGAAATAAGAACAGTGTCATCGTTGCATCAGTATTGTCGTTATAAATATTATACTAATAGTTAGGGTATTGCACTAGTCTTAAGAAAATAAACATAGATATAAATGCATAAGAAGACGGAATAAGATATCGCTTATTCAGCCGTTGTTGTTGCTTGTTGTATATGCTTTCCTCCATCACGTGGATAAAATTCTTGAAGAATATTATGTGGAATACGTTTGAGCATTTCACGTGGAAATGTTCGAAGTAATTGCCAACATACATCTAATGAATCTGCAATACTACGATTTTCGTAGGCACCTAAACAGAAGGAAATACACTTTTCAATAAAGACACGACGAGTTCTTTTCGAATATAAATACCCTGAGTAAGAAAATTCTTTTCAAATTTGCCTAAAAATTCTAAATAAAGTAAATCTTCGGATGATAAGGCTTCTTCGCCAACGACAGCTTTCATAGCTGCTATATCTTTTCCAATAGCATAATTAGCATACTAGAAAAAAAACATAAGACAATACAAAACAAAAAATTCAAATAAAAGCTTAGTATACCAATTGATTCGAAACATCAGCATGATCTTTTCTTGTCATACCTTCACCAATAGCCGATTTCATTAGACGTGATAATGATGGTAAGACGTTAATTGGTGGATAAATCTAATTAAAGAATGAATTAGACGATAAAAACTTTTTGAAAAAAATCGATTTTTGTGATTTTGGTTCATTTCCATGGTCACAACAAATCGCAATTTAAAAAAGAGCAGAAGTTTCTTTTACTTACTTGCCGATTATGTAATTGACGGTCGACATAGATTTGCCCTTCGGTAATATAACCTGTTAAGTCCGGAATTGGATGTGTAATATCTGTAGAAATAGAAAATAGTTAAATTCGAAATTATTTTACTATAGAAATTTACCATCGTTAGGCATAGATAATATTGGAATTTGTGTTATTGAGCCATGTCGACCAGAGACACGTCCAGCACGTTCATAGATGGTTGCTAAATCTGTGTACATATAACCAGGAAAACCCCGACGACCAGGTACTTCTTCACGAGCGGCTGAAACTTCTCGTAGAGCTTCAGCATACGAACTCATATCAGTTAAAATAACAAGCACATGCTTATCGCATTGATAAGCAAGAAATTCTGCTGTAGTCAATGCAATACGTGGCGTAATGATACGTTCAATTCTATTTAGAATAAATGAAATGCAAAGACTATTTTTTTTCTTCGTTCTATTCTTACGTTGGATCATTGGCTAAATTTAAAAACAAACAAACATTTTCCATAGAACCGTTCTCTTCGAAGTCTTGTTTGAAAAAACGAGCAGTTTCCATGTTAACCTTGCAAAATAATTCAAATAAATATATATATATATAAGATATTCAAAAAAAAATAACATACACCCATAGCTGCAAAAACAATAGCAAAATTATCGTCACCATCAACTGCATCCTTTGCATGTTTGACGAGACCAGCTTGACGACAAATTTGTGCAGCAATCTTAAACAAAATTTCTTACAAAAAGAACAACAACAAGAGATAGAACACATTACATCATTATGTGGTAAACCGGCTGCTGAAAATATTGGAATTTTCTGACCACGAGCAATACTATTCATGACATCGATAGCTGATATACCTGTTTGAATCATTTCCTCAGGATATTCACGTGAAAATGGATTAATTGGTTCGCCTATTTTATCCGACGATTATGTTTTTTTTTTCATCATAAAATCTCAGCACATACCGTTGATATCTAAATAATCTTCAGCTAAAACGGTTGGGCCACGATCAATCGGTTTTCCTGAACCATTAAAAATTCGACCAAGCATATCTTCTGATACTGGTGTACGTAAAATGTCACCAGTGAATTCTACTGTTGTATATTTAGCATCAATGCCTGCCGTTCCTTCGAATACTTGTACGACGGCTTTTGATCCTGATACTTCAAGAATTTGTCCACTACGTACAGTACCATCGGGCAATGTTAAATTGACGATCTCAGCAAATTTTGGAAATTTAACATTATCCAAAATTACCAATGGACCATTGACACCGACTACGGTTTTATATGCTAGAAAGTAAACAGTTGATTTTTCAGAGACTTGGTTTCTTTTTCTGTTTCGCTTTACTCAATCGTGGTTGCTTAATATAATCACGTGTTACAGCGGCTTTATGAATATTCATAGCTGTTGTGTCACTAATTCGAATGTTAACTTTTTTATTTGCATCATGTTGATCATCATGTGACGTCATTACTCTAAATGTTTTAGTCATGATAAGTAAGAGAAATAAAATAGAAGTTTTATAAGCAAAATCAAGCGACATATGCACATCTATGGTGATTACTTTTTGGAATTCATTGGATTTGGAAGCTGCCGGTGATCACTTCGTGGCTTATTCATAATTAAAGCGAGAAGAAAAAAATAGATTAGCTGAGAAAATCAAAATTGTAATAATAGCGAGAAATAATTATAGCAGCAACCGAATATGCTCACTCTTCGTCCGACATTTAAATTATCAATGTATGAAAGATGCTTGCTATTTTATTGCTAGTTTCTTAATGGAACAGCAGAAAAATAGATACAATCACACAATATAATCAGCATATTGAGTCAATGTTTGCCATCCTCTATATGTAATAGAGAAGAAAAAAAAACTTATCGAAAGAGGGCGTTAAACCAAAGTATGTTTTGAAAAACGAAAGAATATTTCAGCTTTTTATTTGTAGCAGTAGCTCTCAACCAAAAGGGAGTTATAAGCGATTTTATCTGTTAGAAAGTTTATGATTATATTTTGTTTAAAGACGATACAACTTGAAACTTAGAAAAAAACTTTACGGACAAGAATTTTCTTAGTCAACTCTAATTAAAAGCTTCATTAGAATTTGAAATAAAATTTATTTTTCAGAATAAGCAGAGATTTCTTGATCTTTCCAATCTGCACTAAAATTATCAACTAGAAACTCATGAGATATTTGGTGAAAACATTACCTTAAAACATGACTTTTCTAAAATTCCTTAGCACAATCAATAATTGATCACATCTTAAAATGCAAAACTTTTTCAATAAGAGTGTACGAATAGTATCAATGAGTTGTAGAATTATTATTGTTTTATAGAATCTCTATCTAAAATTGAAATATTAGTTCAATACATCAAGATGACATGTCTTTTGACCAATGACATCGATGTGGCCTCATAAACTATTGACTTTGCGAGAAGATCCGCTCAACAAAATCAAATGTAGCTGGAACGTACAAAACTTTCAATTCCAAACAATGTAAATATGAAAAATGATTCCTTTTGACAAAAATAACATAATTTCTTCATTCTCTCTCAATGTACTAATTCAAGGTCATATATTTGCGAGTCTGTCAATTGCTTCATGAAAATTACATCCGTGCACGTGTTTTGTTTTCGTTCTACACTGGGGAGAAATACAATCAACAGGAGATAAATCATACTTGGAAAAAAGGTATTTACTCCAACTCTAATGAAGAAAGGAGTCAACTCCGAGTTGGAGTTCTCCGTCTCAGGACAAAATTGAAGAAGCAAGAAAAAAAATTGATGATGATTGTTTTCAGTCTGATCTTGCAAAGCCATTCGCTATTAAATCGAATCATTTGAACTATTTGTATTAAACGAATTTGTTTATCGCACGACTATTGATGACTGCGACGCTATTCAAATGTTTATTGATCAAATGGATAAAATGTAAACTTATTAGAAATATTTGTTACGCGTTACAGTATTTTATTAGTCGCGCTTAATTTTTTTTATGAAACGTTCATTAGAATATGTTCCGTAGAAAAAAAAAAACTCAAATATCAGCTTAATGGTATTTTTTCAGTAACAATAAACTATCCAAGATGTATGAATGTTGATGACGATATGCAAAACTACAGATACAAAATATTAGTTTTATGAATTTGTATTATACGGATAATAAGTCACGAAAACTTTCGACAAAAAATGATTGCATACTATTTTCTTTTGATAAGAATGGAACATATTCGTTATTTTCCTTCTTTTCTATGATGAGTTGTCGATTGTGTTGAAGAATAGGTTGGGTTAGCCGCTCCCCTAACCAACAAACTTGTTCCTTTCTTTCATATTCGATTATTGAATATGCTTATCAAACTGAACTTGAATAAAATTGTCAATTTAGCACGGATGCAGTTCGTTCATGCTTTAAAATATATTTGAAGTGCTATATACTTGTTCCTTTAAATAACTGCTGCGACAATCTATTAAAATTGCTGATCATAGAATAGTTAATAAAAAGACGTCAATATTCAGTGAAAGCTATGCTATTCTCGTTCACTACTTCATTGATTATCATATATTATAGAAATTATGATCGAGATATTTATTCGTCCCTTATTGTATGTATAATATTAGCAGTGTTTACATTTTATTTTGCTTAAAGAAAATTCGATAATATTCCTAAGAAATCTAAAGATTGTGGTGATTCTTTTAGGAAGTTATCTAATGTAAATGATTTAGAGTCAGTGTTACTTTTTAACGCTGTGCAATGCTTTTTCAAATGTTGCATTTTTTTCAACACGGAAAAAGCCGACTCGAATCCAAGCGTAATTATTAGCATGTGATTGCCGATTCGAAGTGCACGTGCATCATGGTAAAGGCTGGAAGAGAGCAAAATACCTAGTCAAGCTTGAAATGGCGCATGAATAAATAAATGTTTACAAGGCAATTGATGCATATCACTCCTGTATTATATATAGATATGCTTTCTGTCTCGCATAAGCCTTCAACGAAAAATATGAATGCGAATAACACTACCGATGGTGTCGAAATTCAGCGAAATTTCAGTGTCCGCAAAACATTTCTTTGCGGGATTAATATGGGTGCGATTGCTTATAGTCTATCTTTCTCAAGTGTACCCATCGTCTTCACAATAACTGCAATCATCTTTGGTAAAACATCGGAAATAACTATAATAGCGACGGCTCTTTCCCAATTGGCGGCTGGATATTTGCATACTAATGCCTCACGAGTAGGCATGGCTTGTAGTGTAAAATTATTTGGTGGCATTTTTATGGCGAAGCCTGAAATGATAAACAGACGTACATCTAATGAAGATAGAAAAGCAGCTTTAAAACGTTTTTTCTGCCAGGAACTACCCAATGCGATTGTTTTAAACGTTATGTGGCAGACGTTTACTATTAATTATTTACTTCAGAGTCTTTTCATATTGTGGTATATTGAAAGATTTGCTTTGCATACAACACAACATAGCAACGATTATCAAATAACTGATGCTTTCCCAATTAGAACAAGTGAAAATCAAATCATTCTGATTCATGGAGTTACACGTTTTGTGGCTGGTTGTATCGCTGGAATGAGTACAGGAGTGATCAACCAGTTCTGGCAACGATATAAATACAATTTGCCACAACCCGGTGCCATATTCATGACAAATAAAAGCACATTGAAAATAAATTGCGAAGTGAGCAAGAAAATATTAACGCCCTGTAATGTTGAAAATTGGATAAAGCTCTCGACAATGATTTTGAGCGCTCTATTCACTATTATGAGCTCTATACCAAATAATATTGGCTTTTATCAATTAAGTACACTTGAAAAGCGACTTATTACTGATATAATGGTAATTCAAGGGGGATGGTTTTTTATTCGAGACTTTGCAATGATTATTCTAATGCCTAAACAACCACCTGAGATAGTGACGACGATGGTGAATATTTCTTCGCCTGCTGCTATTGAAATGCGAAGTATGGCTGCAGAAGACTCTGCTCTTCTCACAAGACCCGTTGACCAAAATGATGAGCAAGAAACAGTCAACTTGTAAATATTTTTGCATCAAAATGTGAACAACTAAACCAAGATTAACTCTTATTTTTAAGCTTTTAGTTATTTTTTGTTGTTAATATGTATATGTATGATGATAGTCTAATAATATAAGAAAAGAAAATCATTGAATTAAAGAGATTCATAAGAATTCAAGGTATTCTTTTAGAAGATAACTAGAAACATCGTCACACGCAGTCATATGTCTTACTGTTTACTATGAAATATACATTTCTTAACAAATGCCTCTGCAGCCCGATCAATAGTTGATCAAATTGAAAAAGTCAGAAAGAAACTCGATGTCTATTGTTTTTTAACTGTTATTGAAAAGGAAATCACTATTGAATCGAATCAACAACCAATGGTACACGGTGCTACCGTTCGAGTTTTTCTTGTGAAAGATATATATGCTATCAAATATGCTCTTAGTAAAAAAATATAATTGAAACAAAGCATCGTATGGTAATATGCTTAGGAAGTCAGATAAATCACGTGCACAACGTATGACTATTGGTGATTGGGAAGCTATTCAAATGTTCGTCAAAAAATAGATATGATAGAAAATTATATATTAGAAACACTTGTTGTTTGGTATAGTCTTTTTTATTTATTAATCCTTCATTCATAGGCATGCGCCAAAACCAAAACTGGTATCGAAGTTTTGTTTTTAAGTCTTGGTTTTGAGGTTTTGGTTTTGAGGTTTTGGTTTTGAGGTTTTGGTTTTGAGGTTTTGGTTTTGAGGTTTTGGTTTTGAGGTTTTGGTTTTGAGGTTT